CACGTCTCCTCTAGTTTGAATAATAAGTTACCATTGAGGGTGGCATTCTAGATTGTGGCTTTTAACCATTCTTATCTTTTGTTCGACTTACGCAATTGGAAGGTAGGTGCTGGAATTCCACGTTGTATATTGCACTGATACTATCTCTATTTATACAAACATTTTCATCTTCATTTGAAATCTTGATTCGATTTAATTGTTTGTTTATTGAATTTTCTTTTGACTTCAGTGGGAGTGGATGGACACATACTTCTATCCAATCTACCGATTCATCATTGCCATCGGGCTGTTAGCTTGGGCTTGCGTGGAAATTGCATTGGAAATTGAGCAAAGCACAAATGAAGAGGCAAAGTATCAATACTTCCTATATGTCACAAATTGGTCTTTTCTCCTATACATATTCAGCTCCAATGCCTTTGCAATATTCTGCACGTTTTACAATTGCAAGAAAGGTGAATCTATTTGTACTTGATTTAATAATTTCTTTTCTTGAATTTATAACAAAGTTAATTTATATATCTGCGTTATGAAAGTGCAATCGATATTGATTTGAATATTTTGGTTGATTTTTTAAGAAATTTAAAAGATCAGACGACGTTTTTGATCATTGAATTAATGCATTAAATGCTATTCGAGTGAATTTCAAAAGTTGAGAAAGCCTCTGTTTTCAGTACGGGCTCGATTTTGATTTCCAGAATATTCTAATGGGAAGGAGATTGTCATGGTTGGCCTTGTTCGCGCGGTACACAGCATAATTTCTTGATATAAATTATGTGTGACCTCTGAATTATCTCCAATTTCACGAAAACCTTGTGTCTTGGGAAATGTTTTCACTTGAAAAATTAGACAAACTTTTAATAAATTGTTCATTAAAATCTTATTAAATTTCGAGTAATTGTGTAGTCAATAGAAGGTAAAAATTCTAGTGTTATTTAATTGACGTTATCAAAGAATAGTTTATCTATTGGTATGGCTTATGTTTATACTTAAAGATATTTTTATCGCGATTAAAAATAAAAACTTGGTAGGGTCATTATTTTTATTTGAAATAATACTCATTAATTCCTATATCTTTAATATTACATAGAGGTAAGATTAAAGTCATTGATTCAAATTTAATCCGATGGAACATATATTTAAAGTCCGCCAACTTTATTATTGGCTTTATTGAAACAAAATGACCTCAAAATATATTTTATGATTAAAAATTTCAGATGCAAAGGTTTCAAGACTGTTAAGTAACATTATCTGGCTATTTTACGGCATTTCGATGAACGCAGTCGTGGTAACAAACATTGTCTACTGGGCAATATTATGGAAACCAGAAAGCTGTGAGTTTTTGTTTTAACATAAACTATGTGAAATATTTGTTTAAATATATTCTCCGCATGCCATGACACCGACCGTTACTTAGCATTTTAGTTCACTGAGTTTACCCCTAAAATACTGTCAAGATAAGTGTCAATTTTTTAAACTCATTTTGACTGACTGACTCAGAAATCTCTGTGGCAGATTCTTCTGCATCTAGTTAGACTCCCAGCTATAGAGGAAACAGGCATATAGCACGGAACACGTTTATTCAGTAAGTATGTTTTGAGCAAAGTGTGCCCACATTGAGCTTAGTCATAATCAGCATGGTGGATCAGTTTAAACAAACGGTGGCTTTTGATTGGCCACTGGTTGTACGGTTGCTGCACACGAAGTTGTTGGGAGCACCTCCCAATCCTAGCGTGCATGCGTGTGATGATGAGTTAAGCGATGACGTGCACCACACATGAAGATTAGTTTAAGAAAGCGTAAACAGCATATTTGATAATTTAATAATGCATTTCGAAACGATTTTCCTTAATTCATTTTCACGATAATCACTAATTATTGTCCTTTTAATTCGTCTGAATTTTTGCATTTACGTGTTATCCAACTTCGCCTTACTCATAACTAGCTTAAATGTGACATTTTATTTGTTTTTTTTAATGGAGCTAAAATTGGTTATTGTATTAAAATTGTTACGTTTTGAACTTTTTTGAAAATAGATACTACTTCATTACATTACTTTGTTCATATTAGTGGAATTCTCTTGTAATTTCAATAAAAGTTTTTGTCATATTAGCCAGTTTTCAGGATTCGAAAATGAATATCTGGTCATAGTTTCTTAATAATCTTCTTATTGGATTTAAGGAGAATGATTTTATCATTGAAGTATTCATTCATATATGTATTTAAAATCAATATAAAATTATAGATAAATCGAGAAATATAATTCAAGGATTCTAAATTGGAGAAAGGACAATTATCTAAAGCAAGTAAATAAACACTCAATTAAAAATAGTTCATTCATATATGATTTTATTTCATAAAAAAATTGAATTACATTTTGCATTCGATTGGAAAATTGTCAAATTCAAACATTTGTTGCTGCAAAATGTAAAACGGATTGCAAGTAGAGCAGACTGTCAGATGAATAATGACCTGATTTGTTTAAGTATTTATGTACAAATGAAACGTGTTTTAATTCACGAAAAAATTGAAAATTTAATTTGGAAGCATGGGTTATAACATTGAAGACGTATTTATTTCAAATAGCAGGCGTTTTGATAGATATCATTAGCCATTTAGCTGACTTCGGGCTTCACAGAGGGAAGGTTCATCAAAGTAGCAGAAAGTCGAGAGGTGGGGAACAGAAGAGCGATTCACAGATGTAAAGAGGCAGACAGACACAAAGGTAGAGAAAAAGGTAAGATGAGTACTGTGGAAGGGGTCGAATATGACAACCAGGGGGGTCGTGGTAGTTTGAAGTCAGAAGTCAACTGCCGATAAATAGACTTTTTTGCCGTATGAGTATACGTTGCCCAGGGTGCACCACGTGGAGGTAAGTGTATCACACACCCCACGGTACAAAATATAAGAAAGACATTCCTTCAAATTTGTTAATTAGTCGGTGTCAGAACAAACGATTAACATTACATTTTTACCATTAAATGCAGTATATAATGCTCATTTTTACTATGTAGCAATAAAATTGATGGACGGTTCTTATTTTTAGCCTTTCAACATCAATTCTAACAAGAATGGTTTTCGAACCAAATTTCCGAACTCTTACAGCAAGGCTAGATAGGGGCTTAACTCTGGCCACATGCCTGACCTACAGAGGTCAACACAATGTATCCGAGATCTTAAGCACACTTGGTGATATACGAGCGGGGACTGATAACCTTGTGGATTGGTGTCCGACTGCCTTTAAGGTGGCTTACACTTCACAGCCTCCTGTGGTGATACCAGGGATGGGACCGAATAAAATTACCAGATCACTGTCGATGATCACCAACAGTACCTGCATCGCTGGAGTCTTTGAAAGGCTCGAACGATGGTTTATGAAATTGTTCACCAGACGAGCATTCGTTCACTGGTAAGTTGTATGTTAATTGTCAGCCAATTGTTATGCTTCAAGGTCATTAGATTGCATAAAAAGCATACTCATTTAAAACGAATTTTGCGTTATGATAAATTTTGGACCTAAGCATTTAAAAAGATAAATGCACTAATTACCGAAGTAAGGAAGAAAATTAAATAGGAAGAGTTTTAAATAAATTGTACTAAGGACATCTTTGTCCATTAAGTCTTTATTCACCGCTGATTGAGTATTGCCCCTCATATCATCATCATCCCTCACTTAAATGACAGTTTTGACTTAAATATGTTCTGCCAAAAAAATTCACTTATCTGAAAGATTTCGAGAAATAAATGAGCGTCAAAACGTATCCAAAAGTGACACATTTTTAACTCAAAAGGACCTTTAATAGGTTGGAGGGGTAAGTGAATGGATTAACCAATCATTTGAAACCACTATGAATTTAATCAACTCTTTGTGACTTGAAATATCGCTTTTCATTGAAAGTTGCTTTCTATTTTGCGATTATTATTATGGTTAGGCCTATTCATTTGCCAATTAATTTGAGTTAAAGAACTGTCATTGGCTAGTTATTAATTCTTAACATAACGTGCCACGTCAGGATTCACGAATTCAGAATAAAAAGGATAGAAATCACTCAATTATCTTAAATATTCAAACCTTCCAATAGTAAACAGGGGAGAAGAATGGTGAAGCCACATCATTTATTGATTTATTAATATATCAAATGACAGGCGTTTTGATAGTTATCATTAGCCCTGGAGCTGACTTCGAGGCTTCATGAAGAGGAGGAGGGACATCAAAGTGACAAAAAGTCGAGATGGGAGACAGAATAATGATTCACAGAGGTAAAAGAGACAGACAGACACAAAGGCATAAAAAAGGTAAGATGAGTACTGTGAAAGGGGTCGAATATGAAAAAAAATAGTCGGGCCATAGAAATTTGAAGTCAGAAGTCATTTGCCGATCAATAGACTTTTTTGCCGTATAAGTATACGTTGCCCAGGGTGCACCACGTGGAGGTAAGTCTATCGCACACCCCATAACGTTGAGGATAATATTCGCAATTTAAGCACCATTTATTGTGCTTCCAATCATGACCTTGATACGGGACATTTTGTTATGCTTTATCTTAAAGGCCTCGATTTGTTCAATTTTGATAATTTTTCATTATAATATGTTGCCCAATAATTATGAAATATATTAATTCAAAGTATAATTGTATTGGAACACTAGAACAAACACATTTCCATTCACATAAGAATTAATTTAATATCATGATCCGAGATCTAAGCATCAATCAATATCATCGTATTTTATCGATTTTAGCAGCTTTGGAATCATGCTTCAAGCACTCACTTCCAGCAGTTACAGTAGTTGTAGATGTATACATAAACGGACTTCCGATTCGATTATTTCATGTTATATATGCAATAATCTACGGTGTAATTTATTCTACTTTCTCCTATTTCTACTTCGACGTCGTCAATATCCAACCAATCTACCCGATGCTTGACTGGAGTGAACCAGGAAAGGCTGTTTTTATCAGCTTCGTTGTCATTCTCTGCGGTCCTGTTGTTCAGGTTGGTTTAATAGGCTCAAATTTACTCTAATAATGCTCCATACGTTTAATTTTCATTAGCAATAATTTTCATCAGGTGTTTCGACTTGAGTTCACTGATTCAAATTTAGCCTGCCACGTTAAGAGAGGTATTGATCTCCACTTACAAGAGTTTTAGGTAAATATGTGGAGTAGATTATTGGACTATTAGTAGAAATAAATTTAAGCATATTTGGTTTGAGGGGTATGGGTGGTGGTGCGCGATTGACTAACCCCCACGTGGTGCACCAAATCCAGAAAATTCTGAATACCTATGGTATTGACATATTCACAATTATTGAAGCCAGCCTTATGGACGGCAAACTCACAAACGATCAAGTCTCAGATTACACCTTATATCTCCAACCTAAAGACCGGCACGTGGAATAATGACTGGAGTAAAAGAAGGCCTCACATCACACTGCGAAACAATCAGGAGTATGTGTTCAATGCAAGATATAGCGAAGTAAACAGAATAAGGTAAACCATCTTACAAGCTAAACGGACTACCTTCAACTATTTTATCTCAAATATCAACTATCATAATGAAAGCAAACGCACTTTCAAATTCCTGGGTAACCTCCAAAATAACAAGGAACATCCAAAGAAGGAGTCAATTATCTTAAACAATAATCTGTTTACCACCGACTCCGAAACAGCTAACTTCTTTGCGAGGTTCTATTCTCACAAACTAAAGAAAAACCTTTATTCGGAAACTTGTCAAGAGATATAAAGAAACAAGTAGCAAAGTTTAATGAAATTAAGGAAGACACGACAATACCACACAATGAACTTATTGAGAACTTCAGCTCTCTCGAATTCAATGCTACTGTTAAACAGCTAAAAGGTGTGATATTCACCTGGTGAGGCTAATACTCTAACAAATTTGACAACTATAGGCCTATTTCCCTCACAAGCATGTTGGCTAACCTTATGGAAAGAATGGTTAACAGGAGGGTGACCTGCTTCAATGAAACCAACAACATTCTTAAAAAAACTAACAGGGAGGTTTTAGGCTACAAAGATAAACAAACCGTCAAGAGGTCACTCTCTCCAAACATATCAAAGATGTCCTTGATGTAAGAAATACTCTCACAACCGTATTCAAAGGTTTTAAAACAGAATAAGATCTAGCATGGAAAGAGAACTAAATTTGAAAATTGGTATAAAACATGATTACCAAAACGGGATACGAGAATTCATTTTACAGAGATCACGTAATGACAGAAATGGAAACAATCTGTCCAAATCCAATCATTTACAAACAGACCCACCTCGGGGAGCTGTCACAAACTGTTCTCATTTCAACGTCTTCACCAATGACATAGCTGAACTGGTCAGACAGTCAAGGGGAATCAAGTGCTTACTTTAGGCAGATGATCTTGTGCTATTGTTTTCCATCCCCAGGAGGAAAGCTCAAAAGAGAACGGAAAGTGGCCTAAATTATCGACTTAAATTATTATAAAACTGGTGCGACAAGAATGGAACGGTTATCAACACTTCGAAAACTGCATTCCGAACATTTTCAATGACTCACCACAAAATAAATTCTCATTTAAGGTGCAGGGATACTTCCCTAGAAAAAATCAAAACCAACATTGAAACGCCACACTGACAAATAGCAGAACGAGCCTCCAATAGACTGAACTTACTGAAGGGCCTCACTAATAGCATATGGGGCTGTGCACGCTCAACCCTAAACACCACTTAAAAAACGATTGCTCAACCAATAATGATGTATTGCTGTGAGCCACTCAGTACAGCCACAGAGGTGGTTCTCAAACCACTCGAGAAGACGCACAACAGGCATTTCGACTAATTACTGGAGGGGTAAGATCACCACACATTGGTACAATTCTCCTGGTTACGGGGAACACCGCAATGCACTCAATTATCAAATAGAGGGCCTTGATCCTGTATGAGAAGGTACTGCACATTCCCATTTACAAATTGTTCAGCACCTACGAAAATAAGCCAAGATACCTAAAACGCAATCTGTCCTGATACAGAAAGCCATAGAATTGAAGAAAGCATTTCAAACGGCAACAAACAAAAAAGACTCTATTCACCCAAAACCCATCAATAGACACCGAAGTTCAAATCTTGGTCATTCCTTGAAAGTAGGCACCACTCCAGATCAATTGCGGGTATTGGCTCATGAGAAAATCAACGTAAACTGACATGCAGATCAATAGCTTCGGATCTTAACTGACTGGTCATGCGTGGAAAATGAAGCAAACGTTGATGCGAGACAAGATAGATTTGCATTGGTAGGAGAAATAGAGGCAATTAAGATATCACTAGGCCAATCTTGTTGCCTGGATACGTAATTCATCAACACAGTAATTCTTTTAAACTCGCAGTCAGAAATAAATTAAATTAGAAACAGAGAACCACCCAAAACAGCCGAGACAATCGGATTTAAATACGATATCAATTACACAGACTAAAATAAAGCGAAACAGGTAATTAAAATAAAGCCTGTCATTTAAAAAAATATTTGCGTTGGTTGGTGTTGACATACAAGGGAAAACAACTAATTTAAGTATTAATTACTTCATAGATGCCCAAAGTACTCAAGTAGATGGGTAGATGGATAGATAAAACACCTCAAGTTAACTACTTATTTGAATATGTAGTTAAAGTGAATTCTCTGATGCCGATTCGAAAGTTATTAAGTTTTTAAATAGGTGAAATGATCTTGTCGATCTAGTAAAAAAAATTAATTTCGAATTGGAGGATAAATGCTTATCTGGTAAGTCACTTCACTCAAGCGAACTTGCACCCGAATGAACAATGAAATATATTCATATGGAATTTTTCATCGAATTCATGGTATTAACAATCCGTGGGCCGTTTCAACTCCTTGGTCTCTGGGTGAAAGGTTACGAATTCGATGTCTCCCATATTTTGAATTGTCTAGTGATAGAATGATTTATAAAATATTGACCAATTTTACGTTCGCCTAATTCGTCGCTTTTCTAAGCGAAATATGAAGTCTTCATCTACCCATCAATCGATAAATATCAGCTTTAATCAACTTATCATTTCAAATGTTCTTCCGTTTAGTTCCTTCTCTACCTTCTCTATGTTGGTCGCATCACTCTGAGTGCACACCTCAATGGACGAGGTAAAGTCGTTGTGGATAGTTGGTGGAATGCGGGTTCTCAAGCCACTCCTGACAATGAAGCTGTAGAATGTGCATAAATATTGGAGACAGGAGATCAAACGAATACCCTAAAAATTCTTTTAAAAACTCTCCTCAGTTTACCTATGCCTTCCATGTTTTCCCTCCTTGTCATGAAATGACCTCTTACATTCAATATATTCTTCATTTGGCCTTCTTTTGAAACACACTGAGTATGGAAATGAAATTAATTATTTGTAAAATGGGTGTAAAAGTTCAAATGAAAGGAAATCTATGCACATAAAGGGACATGTCGTGGCATGTAAATAATGTTGCACAGTAGAGCTTCACGATCAATCAGAAGCAGTAGACATGAACCAAATGTTGGGAAATGGTGGAATAGGGTAAAGGTGGTTTTTAATAAAAATTGGGATTTTGAATAAAAGCTGAACTTAAATAGGGTGCCGATAGCATCGGTAACAATTGATGTCAGGTCATTTCGTCTTTCTTAGTCACTCATATTAGCCATTTCTTGTGATAAAAGAACAATCCCAGGTCTACTATGTTCAAATAGTACATAAGGCGCTTAGAAAAATGCAAGGTCTTTCAAATTTATACATTTCCGGAAGGAAAATATGGATTTAAGTAGCATGATCGACCAAAATATGCCGACAAAATCGCTGTGGAAAGTGTGGAATATCTCATCACATGCACGCACGCCAGGAGCAACTGTAGAACCAGTGGCCAATCAGAAGACTCTGTTTGTTTAAAATAATCCGTCATGCTAATTATGAATATGCGTGGTCAATTTTACTCACATTACGCTACCGGACCAAGCGTGTTACGTGCTATACGTCTGTTTTCTCTATAGCTGGGAGTCTAGCTTGAAATCGGAGAATCTACCACAGCGATTTCTGACTCAGTCAGGCAGCAATCCACTGCAACTGTGAAGCAGTGAGGTATCCAGGAAAGAAATATTGAACAACCGGAATTAAGGTTTTAAATTAAGAAAGAATCTTTTGGTACTTTGAGATGATGTTCGAAAATTTTGGTCTATTTCAATTCCTTCCTAAATGTGCTTTTCTGTCACCAATTTTGACAACTATCACTTTGTAATAAATTCAATACGTTTGGGCTTATGGTATAAAGAAAGAATTTAATTTGTTCCTAATTAAAATCCATAAACTTATCTTAAAATCAATATTTATGTTTCTACCGAATTTAGCAATATGTACAGCCATTTCTTCATTTCATTTAAAAGCTCAAAATTAATTTTGTACTTATCTTAAATAAAGCATCGTAAAATGATGATAGTTGTGGATCAATAAAATTGGATTTTGATAGGAAATTTTGGTAAATTTCAGTTCTTTCCTAAATGTACTTTTCTATCACCAATTTCGCTTGATTTGTCTTGTAGCGGATTGCTACACTAGTAAAGCCTGACTGAATCAGAAAACTCTATGGCAGATTCTCCAACATCTAGCTAGACTCCCAGATATCTGTGGCAGATTCTCCTACATCTAGCTAGACTCCCAGAACGGCAGATTCTCCAACGTCTAGCTAGACTCCCAGAACCAGGGAGATTCTCCTACATCTAGCTAGACTCCCAGAACCAGCTAAACCATAGCCCAGCTATAAAGGAAACAGACGAGTAGCACGGAGAATTCTCCAACATCTAGCTAGACTCCCAGAACAAGCTAAGCTATCGAACCAGCTAAGCTATAGCCCAGCTATAAAGGAAACAGACCGAAACTAGCTAAGCTATAGCCCAGCTATAAAGGAAACAGACGATAATTCGGAACACGTATATTCAGTCACGTAATGATCAGAAAAGTGTGCACGGAGCACGTTTATTCAGGACGTATCTTGCGGATCAAGTCACGTTTATTCAGGACGTATATTGCGGATCAAGTGTACCCGCTTATTCAGGACGTATATTGCGGATCAAGTGTGTACACACAATTTACTCAGTACGAGTATTGCGGATGAAGTGTGTACACGCAGGGAGCTACTCATGATCAGGATGGGAGATTAGGTTAAACAAACAGATGTTAAGGATTGGTCACTGTTTGTACGGTCGCACCTCCCAAGGAGGTTACTTTCTTGGTCACTGTTTGTACGGTCGCTGCACACAGAGTTGTACGCCGTACCTCCCAATCCTGGCAGCAGACATGCAGGCATACGATGGCCTCCCAATCCTGGTGAGCAGACATGCAGGCATACGATGACGAACAACGCGATAACGTGTCCCACAGTCTTGATAATAAACAGTGCTTCAATAAGTCGTAAGTTATGTATAATGAATGCATTAAATTTATTCCCAATTTAGAACCATAAATCTATCTTTAATTCGATATTTATGTATCTGCCAAATTTGGCAGCATGCACAGCCATTTCTTCATTTCATTTGAAAGTTTAAATTCCATTTTGCACTTATCTATCAAAGAAATCAAATTGATGATGATTGATGCAAGTTTTTGGTCAATATTATCTTTCTTTATAAAATTGGACGTTTTCAGGAAAAGCGAAATCTCCATCGTTCAATTTTATGGAGCAATACAATTATAACTTCAAAAGGTACATGGATTTCATTTTAATTTTACAATTGCCTGTGGTTGTCAGCTAAATCGCAAAATATATCATTATTACTTTTCAGTTTTAAGCCAGTCCTTTCTTTAATAATCTTTGAAATATCGAATGATCATCAGAAATCGATTTATTAACAACGACCTTGATTTTTTGCTTAAGAGGTTCTGCCGATTTAGGTTGGCCAACAAGAGCGAAATAATATTACATCATAAGCACCTATCGTTATAGAAGCCTGGATTTAGCAAGGAAGGAGATTCGAATCTGCCAATTTCGAGACTGTTCTTGTGATTGAAACGTCAAAAGAAAATAGGTCAGTTATTGTGAATTCCTTCCCTCTTCCACAACTGATTTTGTCTCAATGTCCCAATTCTAACATTATCTAAAAGCACTTATTGCCATCTCAATAGGAGAATGGTTTTCCAACTATAACTAAAGAAAACTTATTGAAGTTCAAAATGTAACATTTTGATGTTTATAGCAATTCAACCTAGGGTTCGAATTAAACGTTTCTCCTTGTGGGTCTTGAACCCAGAGTATACAGGTCACTACCCAACACCCTATGCTGGAAATCAGCTGATGAGGGT